CTAGTTTTTATTTTTATTTCAGTTTTAGTTAACTATAATAACCTATAACATATATAATAACCAAGCATAAACAGCCCTATTGGGGGATATGGTGGGAAAAGAAAGTCTCTACATAAACACACACAGTACAGCCAAGACATGTGGGACAGAAACCAGAGCCAGGAATTAGACTTCACCTCACTGATACTACTTCTGATGATGATGTTGACGACTGACACCTGCAGCAATGTGGCTTTAATCTGCAACAACTGCAGCACTTTATGAACCAGTATGCTTGGATCAAGTGCTTTCATAGCTCATGAATCTCCTGTTGACAGGTGACTGCTGGCTGCTGGCTGCCATCGCCTGTCTGACAGTGAACGAAAAGCTGCTGTACAGAGTGATTCCCCCGGATCAGAGCTTCACAGAGAACTACGCTGGCATCTTCCATTTCCAGGTTTCAAATGGATATGTGGCACATTGTGCAATAAACAACTGAGGTTTAGTGTTCTGAAAATGTTCATTATCAAATGCAGCTTAGAAAGAAATACAGTTTATTAAATTAGATTAGGATATAAAAAACAGCGCAATGTCAAATACTACTGATACTACTAAATACTTTAACTTTTACATTTCACATATGAAATATTCTTTTTTGCAAATTAATTTTTTATTATTAATTAATTATTATTAATTAATAATAAAATAATAATAATAATTATTAATTAAATATTAAATTAAATTATATATTAAAATACGTGTTGCACATGTGATAAACATGTGACATATGATTCATGTGCACTTTAAAGAACAAGAATGAATGTCAGCACAGAAGATAAAGATAATATAGAAACAGTGGTTTGTCCACCATAGAGCACTGACAAGTTTATTTTCAACTTTACAAAGTCCTGTTTAGTCATAACTGTTTTTTAATTTAATATATTGAAGAAATAATTCAATGTTTTTTGAAATACGCTTTCTGACAAGAACCCTTTGAAAAACAGAAAATAGTAGTTTTTACATTTTGACTTTTGTACGGATTAAACAAACGACAGATTAATTTATCTACTTGAGGTGCTGGTAGGCAGATTTTGTTACCTTTGGACTGAGCCAGGCTAGTCGTTTCCCCCTGGATTCAGTCTTTGTGCTAAGCTAAGCTAACCACCTGTTGGATGTAGCTTCATGTTACTGCTGAGAGAGTGGTATCAATCTTCTTGTCGAACTCTTGGCAAGAAATCAAAAAAGTAAATATTTCCCAAAATATCTATCTAACTATTCCTTCAGCCCATATACTGAAGAGAGAACTCTAAATGAGCAATTGATTAAATATGCTTAACCAAGACGTCAGATCAGCTAATAATTTAGAAGATGACAGGAGCTTTTCTTCACCCAGTGATAAACACTTCTCCTCTGTCTCATCACTGGTTTCCTGTTTTAAATCTGTCTCCTTACACTCAGTTCTGGCGTTATGGTGAATGGATCGATGTGGTTGTGGATGACCGGATTCCCACCTGCAACAACCAGCTGGTTTTCACCAAATCTTTCAGAAAGAACGAGTTCTGGAGCGCTCTTCTGGAGAAAGCTTACGCAAAGTAAGCACAGTCTATAAATATCCACTGCAAAGTGGAGTCGTGCAGCTCGACACGTCTTCACCTCAATGCAGGGTTGTTAATGTTACTGTTAATTCATTCAGTTCAGGTTTCCATCCACTGAAAAAGGTTTGTCATTTAAATCTTCAGCACTTGTTTTCTGGTTAAAACATTTAAATCCTGGGGGCAGGAAATCATTTGAGGTGATTAAATGCAGATTCACTTGTGTCTTCTTCAGTATCAGTAATAGTATTGAGAAATTACTTCGCTGGCATTCATATAATGCTCCTTGATTTGAGATAATCTATCAAATAAGATGATTGACACCAGAAAACACTGACCTCTCACCTCGCTTCATTTCAAGATTTACTTTTGAACTAAATATCTCATTAAGGTGTATATATATTGCAGTGTAGTGACAGTAACTAGGCCTCCGTCTTCATGTTTCACAAATTGGCTGCAGACACTAAAAAAATCCAAGCCTTGGAGAACATACATGTCAGCGCATTACCCCTAATGATTGACCTCTCTCTCAGGTTGCACGGGTCTTATGAGGCTCTGAAAGGAGGTAACACTTTGGAAGCCATGGAGGATTTCACAGGAGGAGTTACGGAGTTCTTCGAGTTGTGCGAGGCGCCCACAGACCTCTACAACATCATGAGGAAGGCGCTGGCGAGAGGCTCACTGATGGGCTGCTCCATAGATGTGAGTGGTAGTGAAAGAGAGTAAAACTAAAAGTGTACAGAAAAGAGAGAAAAGTCACAAAAATGAAAACAATACATGGTTTTATTAAATGAGACACGCAGCAACACAACTGACTGACATATAAACATCAAACCTTAAATATAAAGAGGAAAAATAGAAAAATATACCCTATTAATGACCTACAGCTAGATTTCTTTTCCCCGTGTAAATCAGCCAGTTTCAATAATTTTCTCACAACAGGAGAACCTGAATGAACCTGAACTGAGGTATAAAGTGAGATTGTATTATTGTTCATCCGTTTAACTTGATGTTAAGAAAACTAGATTTTAAAGGTGCAGTGTGTAACATTTGGGAGGCTCTATTGGCAGACATGGATTATGTTTTCATCAGTGCATAATCACCTGAAAATAAGAATCATTGTTACCTTAGATCGAGACGTTTTCATCTACAGAAGGAGCAAGTGCTACAGAGTCCGCCATGTTGAACCACCGTGTTTCTACAGTAGCCCAGAACGGACAAACATTGGCCTTTCATGTGTTTTGTTGCCCCAGTGGTTTTTATTTAATGCCTGGTTGAGTCAAATGGTTTAAGTTGGCTGCAGTCTCACCACTAGATGGCACTAAATCCTCCACACTGGTGCTTTAACCATCAAATCTAGAATAAATGAATGAATTAAAATAATATTTCAGCTCTGACGTGTTGTTGTATCTGTCAGATTACCTCAGCCAGTGAACTGGAAGGTCGGACTGACCAGGGGCTGGTTAAAGGTCATGCCTACTCCATTATAGACCTTGCAGAGGTACAGTAAAATGTCCACTCATGGTAAATGCCATTTTTGGTATTCTTTGTATGAGAAAACCTTTTAAATTAACGCGTTGGTTGTTGTTTTTAGTGTGACGAGGTTGCAAAGAACACCAAGATTCGCCTGATTCGCTTGCGTAACCCCTGGGGTTGGGTGCTGTGGAAGGGACCATGGAGTGTAAAGTAAGACTTGGAAAAACTGCTGTTTAACTTTTTATATTGTTATCAAAATATGTAATATTTGCAAATAATTATATTTTTACAAAGACTCTAATAGTATAGAACTAAGATGTAGGAGGTTTTTGCATCAGCCAGCAATCATAGGTAGATACTGTATTATTATGAATAACAGCTCATCTGATGTTTGTCCTGTTGAGAAATATTAGAGAAACATTATATGACCTAGGTCTGTCTGACTGATGCTGTACTATCAACATATTTCTTTATATTGTGGTGAGTGTGTGTTAATATGATTTGGTCTTTCCATAGTTCAAACGAATGGTCGACCATTTCCATCGCAGACAAGGAAAACCTTAAAAAACAGACCATAGAGACGAGTGAGTTCTGGTGAGTAAAACCTCAGCTGTACTTTTAATTCTACAATAGCATGCTAACACGCTAACATTAGCAAACTGTGTCTCGAATCCGTATGTTGTTTTTTTTTCATAATAATTAAAAACTTGTTAAATTAAATAAAGTAAATAAAGTATCCACTGACCTTCAATAATAAGAATAAGGAAAAGAAAAAACCCAAAAATGAAAGAAACCTCTTCCAATAATGTTCTTCTCCACCATTCTTCTTCAGGATGTCTTTTCATGATTTCAAAAAGAACTTCACAAAGCTGGAGATGTGTAACCTGACCCCCGACACACTGCAGGGCGATGAAAGACACAGCTGGACGGTGTCGGTCAATGAGGGTCGCTGGGTGAGAGGCAGCTCTGCTGGTGGCTGCCGCAACTTCCCAAGTAGGCCTTCACTGTTTTTATTATCAGCTTTTCATTGCAGCTTTTATTCCTTATTATTATTGGTGAAATTCTTTTGTGTTTTACAGACACATTCTGGACCAACCCTCAGTATCGGTTGCAGCTGTATGAGGAGGATGACGACCCAGAGGACGGGCAGGTGGCCTGTACCGTCGTCGTGGCTCTAATGCAGAAAGGTCGAAGGATGCAGCGTCATCAAGGGGCCAAATTCCTCACCATCGGATTTTCCATCTACGAGGTACTGATCACATGACCATGAATCACTCAGATTTCCCTCAGACATTGTACAAGCTGGTGTATATTTCACTGGAGTCTGGACTTTAACTACTTCTTTGTCTCTGCAGGTGCCGAAGGAGGTATGCCCATCTTGAAGAAGAACGTTATTTTGATGAAATCAGCGCTTTCACAGCATTGACCTGTATCTCCAGAGAGTCGTGTTTGTGTGTGTGTGTTTGATTTAGCAGTACATGTGGTAGTAGTAGTGAAACCTGTATGTACATTTTACAACACAAGGCAAAATATTTAATGTTCATAACAGACAGATTATTTTTTGTGTTATTCTATAAATTATTTAGTCTTAAAAATATATATATAAAAATGAAAAATATTCACATTTAGGCAAATATATTTTTGGGTGATGGAGACCTGATGTACCTTAGTGGAAACACAGTATCTCTATTATGTTGAATACGCTACTCCTACATGTAGGAGCAGAAGTATTGAAGTAGTACAAGTATTGCTTTCTTGACTACAGTTCAATAAGAAGATCGATCCCGCTCTCATATCTGTACGCCAACAGCCAGTTAGCTTAGCTTAGCACTAAGATTAAAAGCAGCTAGCTAAACCACAAAAAATTCAAATTTTGTACAGATTAAACAAACAAGATATAACGTGTTAATTAGCAAGCTTTGGATGGACCCCTGTAGGATAAACGGCTCCTGGCAGTAGCTTCATAAATACCGTACAGGCATGAGTGGTATCAATCTTCTCCTCTAACTCTCGGCAAGAGAGTTTGAACAATTTCTTTGCTTTGAATGCTTTTTCTGTGTTGACTACTTTTCTTATTTGGAGAACTCATTCTCACCCCACCAACTTTCCATCCATAGATGTGTGGAAAGAATCAACATCTGCAGAAGGACTTCTTCCTGTACACAGCCTCCAAAGCTAAATGCAAGACCTACATTAACCTGCGGGAGGTAACGGAGCGAATCCGTCTGCCTCCAGGAGAGTATGTCATCATTCCCACGACCTTTGAACCCCATCAGGCGGGAGAGTTCATTCTCAGGGTCTTCTCTGAGAAGAGGAGCACATCCGAGTAAGGATCTCTGAGCGTCACTGGCCACATGTAGTGCCGCAGCTGATGTTATTTTTGATGATTGTTGACAGTAAAATTCAAAGCCTTTAAATGTAGTCCAGCAATGAAGAATCCTAATGTGTCTGTTTTTGTCTTCACAGGGAATCGGAGAACGTAATCGGCTCTGACCAAACACAGGTTTGCAATATGATTAAAGTTGTAGTGGGGTCAAAATATATGTTGATAATTGTGACTGATGTTGTAGAGAGCAGGTTCAGGGTTTATGGTATGAATCATGTTCAGTGGACAGTTGATAGTCTAGTCTTTCATTTCCTTTTTTTAAAATTGTATAAACATTTTAAAATTCAGCAGAGAAACTGGGATGTTGAACAGTTCATTACACATTCAGGTGCTGTTGCTCGTAATATTAAAAACAAAAAGAAGAAATTTGGAGAAAAAAACATTAACCAGGGTCCATTTCCTGTGAATAACTATTATTTTATCCAGTATTTCCCCACCCTTTACTTTTGCAGTCAAGGGGTGTAAGTTATCTTTTCCTTGAGTGTAGATAGCTGAACGTCTATGAAAAGGTCCACAGTGGGGTTTGGTAATAGTTTTTTTTCTTGTAGCCATAATGTTCCTCAGGAAGTATCACACCTACCTGTAGACACATCTCCAAAATACAAAGAAAAATTAGACATTAATGTGTTTTTGACATTAAGCTTCCTCCCAAAGAGGCTCAATATATGCTGGAATACTGCAGCACTTCTTACTCCAACGAGAGTGCTGGGTCTGCAGCTCACACTGCAGTATCAGTTAGATTTTGATGTACTGTAAATCCCAATTGTGTAACATACATATTTCATCAGGCTTGCTCTTGAAATCTCTCTGTCTTGTCCCAATTCATACTCTGTGCTTACTCATTGGTTTTCCCACAAGAATGCCTAACAGACTTTTAAATGCATCCTCCTTTTCATCTCATTTCATCCTTCTGCCCTTCCTTGTGTTATTGGCCATCAGCAAGACAAGAAAATGAAAGAAAAGGTAATGCATGCACGTGGCAATAACGTTGTTAGATTGCTTTTATTCTCTGCTTTTCCGGCTACTTCTCTCCATCGTGTGTTGGCTTTCAGCAGTGTTGGCAGTTATAGTTTGTACCATCATCGCATATGTAGATTATAACCAGTGGAAAAACTATAAATTAACTCTCTCTTTTCTGTTCTGTTTGTCTCTTATAACCCCCCTCTCTCCTCTTACCAACCACTGCCATTACCCACATGCCAGCCTATTGTATTTGTGTCAGACAGAGCACGAGCCAACAAAGAAATCGAGCATGACGGCATTCAGGGGGAAAAGAAGAAGAAACCGAAGGTAATCTTCTTGTTGCGGGAGCACAGTGTGTATACACAAACTGTTATTGTTGAGCCAAAACACCGACGGGCAGCAAATAGCTCATAGTGACCTTTGCCATGCTCCTGTCGTAATTTCTGGGGACTGACGGCTCTAAAATGCAATCGTACCCAGGTCAGATAACATCCCTGGGAATAAAACAATTGAGCTCGGAGCCAACTGATCTCAAGTGGCTCAGCTGCACCTGTTTTCCTGTAAGGCCTTGGTGTATATAGGCCAAGTCGTTAATGTCTTTCTATAATGTGCTGCTCTCCTCTGGAGCTTTAAGGAAATGCACCCGGAGCTAATCATTTACTACATATAGTGTTAGTTATAGTGCCACACTAACAAACTGAAAAACTCAAAAACCCAGTTCTACTATTTTAAGATTTCTGATCACCAAACTTGTTGTTGGAGGTGACGAATGATCAAAGTATAACAATAAAAGAAGTCACGCACTTTAATTTGTATAATATTCATTTATTGTTATCTTGTGAAATCTGCTGGTATAAACTAAATCACTCTACCTTATCACTCTTAATTCAGTTTATGTGCATAGCGCCAAATCATAGTAGAAGTTATGTCAGGACACTTTTTAAATAGAGCAGATCTAGACCGACTTATAAAATTATTTTCAAAGACGCAACAATTCCCACAATGAACAAGCATAGGTGACAGTGGTGAGGAAAAACGTCCTTTTCAAAGGCAGAAACCTCAAGCAGACCCTGTAATTTACATTATATACAGTAACTGAACTAAGCTAGTCAAGGTGGGGCTTATATTTTTCCCTTCTAAAATGTAGTAGAGGTATAAAGTGGCAGAAAAGTACCTCAAAATGAAGTACTTACTGTGAAATAAATACTTACTTTCCACCACTGGCTGTCAAACACTTAAAAAAGCTCAAACTTCAAACCCATTTTTTAATTTAATATTCATTTTTACCCCATTTTAATGTTTTATTTGTCCCTCAGCAAAAACTACTCGAACCTGAGGAGGAGACTGAAGAGGAGAAACAGTTCAGAGTCATTTACCAAAAGATTGCTGGTGAGGTGAGTACACAGAGAGGAGAGAGGAGTGGTTTTAAAGAGATAACGAGGGTAACAAAGGACCGGCGTAGATGTCTGAGTTTAATATCTGACCTCCCTCCATCAGGATATGCAGATCTGTGCCAACGAACTCAAGACAGTCATGAAGAACGTACTCTCCAAACGTGAGTACACTGAGACCATTATTATTGTCTATGTGTTGGGCTGATCGTTCATAACAAGCTGTTCTTTTCCACAGATAATGAAATAAAGTCAGAGGGATTCAGCCTTGAGACATGTCGGAGTATGATCGCCTTGATGGATGTATCCTTTCAGCTGCTTAAAGCTAAATGAATCTGTAGAACAACATGTGCTGTAGAACAACAGCAAAACAAGCATTTGTCCTAAAGGCTCCGCTCTGGCAATAAGAAGTTAAAGGAGTAATACATATATTAAGTTTTATTGACAAAACAAGTGTTTATACAGGGTTCCCCTTATTGTAAACCTTTAATGGACTGATATCATGCAGCAGTGGATATTAAAAATGCAACCTGACACAATTACTAATTACCTATTTAAAATGTAGTCAGTAATCTAATCCAAGTATCACAATATGAATTCAAACATACTACTACTTCTACATACTTTAACTGGTAATGAAACAGTTTCAATTTAACACTGATGTCTCTATATGACCTCCATAAACACACAAGACCAACAGCAAGAAGATTTGTTATTTCTAGTTATTCTTAAACAATATTCTTAGATTAGAAGACAAGAGAAAGGAAATACTGTATCAATAAAACGTGTATTCTAAAAAACAAAAGACCAATGTGACCTTAGAAAAGAAAATGGAAACAATGTGTCCTCTGCTCAGTGTGTTTTTAAAGACAAACTACAAACTACTCAGGCGATAGCTTGTAGACAATTTTCACAGGTAGAAGGCATAACTTTACTTTAATTATGTTTTTCCACTTTTTTGTTTTAAAGACAAAGTAATGGTGAAATTGGTGAAAAATGGTGTGTAGTAATGTATTGTCCTTCATTTTTAAATCTTTCAAAATAGTAATCCAGCTAATAATCCCCATTTTTACTCAATTCAATTTGAATGTTTTAATCTTTTTTGTATCCTGGTTATGTGACAAATTACAAATAGATTATTTTTTTATTGATGCTTGGTGACAAAAAAAAAGTACAAAAAAATCAAAAGCATCTCAAAAATTGTCTTTATTGGCAAACCTGTGTTGGTTTTTTCCATAACTGCCATTTCTCAGACCGACGGGACAGGGAAGCTGAACCTGCAGGAGTTCAAACACTTGTGGAAAAAGATCAAGGCGTGGCAGGTAGGACCCTTTTAGCAACTTAACTTCTTCTCATATTTAACAAACCTTCAAGTTTTCATCTGATTGTCCGTCTCCTCGTATGTTTTCAGCTCATCTTCAAGCGCTACGATAAAGACAAATCCTGCTCCATCAGCAGTTTTGAGATGAGAAACGCCGTTAATGATGCAGGTGAGCAGCATGAACCACTGGCAGGATACTGTATGTCTCCATTTTTAGAGGGTTATGTTCAGATTTATCTTCTACTTTCTGTCAGAAATACCTTCCAGCCTTTTGTTAGGAACCTGTAATGTGACCTGGAACTGTTGACCATGAACCTGATCTCTGTTTCGTCTTCTCTACACGAAGGGTTTCACCTCAACAACCAGTTATATGACATCATAGCCATGCGCTACGCAGACGAACACCTCATCGACTTTGACAGTTACATCTGCTGTTTTGTGAGGCTGGAGGGCATGTTCAGTAAGTACCACCTGAGATTTTTTGACCAAAAATAATCCACCAACTGCAGCCCGACCCGACTGCATCAGCTCAAGATTTATAAGGAGGTAGATAAAGATTGTTCTGTTGTCTTTCTCGCAGGAGCTTTCAATGCTTTTGACAAAGACGGAGATGGAGTAATCAAGCTTAATGTCCTGGAAGTGAGTTTTTAATATTTCTCATCTCAACATGATATTCTGATGCTACGTTTCTGTTCATGTTTATGTTGTTGCACACAGTATTACTTAAAGGACCAGTGTGTAGGTTTTTAGTGGCCTCTAGTGGTGAAGTTGTAGATTGCAACTAGCTGAACACCGCTGGCGTCTGTATTTGACGACCTGTAAATGTAGAACAGGCTGTGAAGAGTGTAGAAGAAACCACGGTTGCGGTGAAACTTGCGAAAAACGTGAAAGGCTAACAAAAACAATCCCATCTGAGTACTGAATGAGGATTGCAGTGTGAACGTAGCCTGAGTGTGTACTGTAAATGTACTTTTAAAACCCCTTTGTGCTCATATTTGTTTTCCTTTTGCTCTCTCTCCAGTGGCTTCAGCTGACCCTGTATTCTTAAGTCGCCTACTTGACCTGCTGACAGTTGGTGCTCACATTCACGATTCATCTCCTGGACAGCCTCTTAAAAGTATTTTTGCACAGATTTTGCGACTTTAATAAAATCTTGAATCTTGAAGTCGAAATCAGATGTTTGATGTTTTCTCCAGTTTTATAATATTTAGATTTAATGTCAACTTTATTTCAGCTTATTTTTAAAAGGTCCAGTGTGTAGCGGTGTGGTTGTGGATTGCAACTAGAGCCAGTGTTTAGTTTGTCGGTTCTGGGCTACTGTAGAAACATGGTGGCCTCCCCAGAAGGCGACCCACAGAATCTGAATTGATATGGATTGATCAGAAGTTGCTATATTTATTAGAAAACTATTTGTTTTCTGTGTCTGTAGATAAAAACGTCTCATTCTAAGGTAACAAAAACACAACGATTCCTATTTTCAGGTAATTATACAGTAATGAAAACATACCAATGAATTTTATATTACATTTCTGCAAATAGATCCTCCTAAAGGTTACACACTGGACCTTTAAGCGACGGACATCCTCTTAGTAATAAAGCTGATTCATTTTCTCGATTCTGCAGAGCTGATGAGAGCGACAGAATTTGATGAGTCAGTGTAGATTATCATGTTGCATCAAGCTAAGAGGCGGTGCAAAGATGTAAACAGATGTTTTTACAAATGTAGTTTAGCCAAAGGTCCTATGTTGTAAACAATGTGTTTAGTAATGCAAAGCTGGAAGTGCTGAAAAATAAAATGTTTGAATATGAGAACTGAGTGATTGAACATTTGGTTTGTATGTTGTTTTTAAAATATAGTGGAAGGGAACGCTGTAAAGTGTGTTTGTCTTTTTATTGCTGTATACATATAGTAGGCATTAAACATCCAATACACAATGTACAGTATAACATACAAAAATTAAGGCAGCAATCTTATAAGTTACTCCCGGGTTGGTCTGTCACTTTCTTCCATTGCCCAAAAAGAGAGATGAGTTTTTTGTTTTTTTTAAAATGTGTCGTATAAAGTGACATAACCAAATTGCTCAGTCACAACAAAATGAATAATTTCTCTCAAATGTCTCAAGTGTGAAAGGGCACAACAGTCTGAGTCAGGAAGTAATTAAAGATACTCCGTCTCTACGCTGTTGTGTCAGTGAATGGTGAAAAACCTAAAATCTGGAATATAATCCAAATCAAAAAAGGACATCTGGCTTGAAAGCAGGCAGATAAGAGGTACAAATGTTATTTATACAGAAAGTACAGGTTGCTAAATATTAGCCTATTGAGGGGGAGTTGTACATCATCTTAAAAGGGGAGTTCCACCATTTTTTTTTACACATCGGTTGTTCAGAAAGAAGTGAGTTTACCAGACCTCTGTAGTCGCTGCTCATCTCTTGCCTAAAGCTAGAAGCTTGAGGCTAAATTTACCGCTACTGGCATAACTTCTGCGAACCAACTGTCTGAGGTTGAGTTGCATTATTGGGTAATGAAGGCACCAGGTTTTGACAAGAAGAATGCAATTTTAACATGGGTCAACAACATTACAGGAGTACAATGTTAAATTGGTGGAGTATTATTTTTTAAATAACTGTGCAGATGGACAAACTGGGTGTTAAGAGTTGATGTATAACTAAATTAATGTTCTTCAGGTTCAGACACTGTGGCGTTTCTGCTTTACTGTTCCTTAACAGATTCAGCTAACATTACAACAAGCTACCTCCGCTTCAGAGCCAATCGGCACTACAATATCTAAACAGGATTTTGAAGGCAGTTCACAGTATAAGCTGCTCCGCAAAAGCTATTCTGAGGCGCTTATGCCAGTGAACTATAGTTGTAAAAAGTATTATCTTCACATATACTATGACATTTCTGGGTAGGCTGACTGTATAATATATTGCATGTTGTTTAAAGCTGCGTCACATATTCGCCGCGTTAAGTAAAAAACGTGTTGACGAATAAAAGTCATTTTACTCGTCAAATATAGCTTAATTACTGATAACTTCAACTGCAAATAATTGATGATGGGTTAAAAGTATTTCAACAACAGGACTGATTGAGTGTTTGAGTGAGACTGAACGTCAACAATACTTTTATGAAACAACTTCAGGGATCAATAACAAGTGACCAGTCATACAGTGTGCACCAAAGACCAAAGAGATGTGATCGGCATCTCAAAAACTGGAAAATAAAACCAAATATCCTGAAAAGAACTTCGAAAAAACAAAAAAGAAAAGTCAGTTGATGTGTTGTAATGGATAAAACTTCTCAATTGCTGCGTCACTTCACCGCTGCACTTTACTGTCGTTCTCCACGTGGCTCTGCATGTGTTCAGGCAGCTCCTGCAGGAAAAATACAAACAGCACAGAGGGGTTATTCAGCCTGCCAACATGTAGTTGTGTGTGTGTGTGTGAAGGCACTCCTCACTTTTAATAACAAAGCTATGAGAATATAAGATTGTGACTAAGGAATAGAGCTAAGCTAAAGAGCTGATCTTCCCTTCAATCTCCACAGTTTAAAATGAGATGAAAGTCATTAGCGTCGGTTCATTACCTGCCTAACCGACTGCTGCGTGGCAAAGAAAGTGTTGCAGCCTCTCCAGCGGCATTTGACCATCTCCAGATTCGGGTTGCTGTGATCTCGAACGAGGTGCTGCTCGAGATGATCTGCGATGCCGAAGATCAGAGAGCAGTTCTGCCACTGAACAGAGGGCAAAGGTCACAAAGACGTGTTAAGGCACAAAATGTAAAATATATATAAAATCATATAATCAGTCAATCCAGTCAATTCCAAGCAGGTTATTTGTATACATGTCTTAACACGTGTTTGGAGGGGATGTTTAAATATATTTAAAAGGAAGAATGTTGGATATTTTTCTTGTAAGAGTGAAGAGCAAAGAAAAGTGTATAAACTGAAGTGTGTACTCGTGGATTAAACTGATATAAATCGTCCTTTAAGCTTCACTCTCTGTGTAATAAATCCTTACCCAGCAGCGGTAGTTCTTCATCAAGTTGAGCTTTACAGCTTGAACGCTGCCATCGTAACAGCCTGTATAAATCTGGGTGGGATGAACAATGGTAGATTTGTATTTTAAACCATTTCCAAAAAGAACATCTATCATGTAAGTTTAAATTAAAAACACATTCACGTACCACACTCTTATGTATGGCCATGCACATCACCATGTCACTGTGACCCCCGTACACCTGCAGGCGGTCATGGGACTGAAAACAAAGAGATATAACACTCAAATTAATTTTTATATATAAATAAATGTATAGATAATTCACAGATCAAAATAAATACGAGATATGTGCAGGTTCCAAGAAGTCAAATTTAAGATCTTTTCAAATGTGGGACCTGAACTAAAAGTAATAGACATTTAACACCTAATGATATAACACTGCAAAAGGAAACTATGACAAGTGTTATTATAATTAATAAATATAAATACTCAACGATGGATGATGAAGCAGTATGAACTGAATCAAAGAGATTCACATGCAAATATTGGCTTTGACTGATTTGAGGTTTTGATTTGAGAAATTTCAGTGTGTTCTCTGAATTTTTAGGAACAGAACAAACACACACTCACAAATCAGTGTGAATAACGGAGTCATAAATACTGTACCTGTAGCTCATAAACTCGGACCAGTTTATCCAGACAGGCCGTTACCATCACTTTGCCCAAGATGACTATTGATGTGACAGCATGACCGTGACCCTTGTAGATACGAACCAACTCACCCGTCTACAAACACAAGATGACAAAAAGACAAAAATAAGACCAAATAATATTAACTTTTTTACTGTCGTGTTGTCACATCAGTGACTAAAGTTGTGCTGAACTTTCAACAAGACACAAGAAACTGTGAGTGTAATTTGGGCCTATGTATGTTATAACATTGAGGGAAAAAACTATTTCCCCTCTGGGGATTAATAAATCAATACTCATAGATAAATCACTTACATGGATGTTGTGGGCGTGAACAGATGTGTCACTGGAGCCGCTGAATACCAGGTCGTTTACCACCTGAAAACAACACGGGAAGTAGGATTTAGTAAACATGACATACAAGTGATAATATCTCTTTGACAATCAAGTCAAGTCAAATTTTATATAAATAGAAAGACATAAATCACAATTTGCCTCAGGCTTTAAAATCTGTACATTCAACAATCCCTAAAATATAAAATATAATTGTTTTATAATTATATATAATTATAATTTAATCTACAAGAAACTTTATTACAGCATTTAGAAGTTATTTACACCCTTAAGAATACGTAAATGTCCTATTTAGTTCCTTGAGAAGAATCTGCAGATATGATATAATATGACATGATATAAATACAGATTGAATGTCAGCATGAACAGTAAATACAGTACAGTAAATTATTATAACAGGTTTCCATTCAAACAAAAGTAAAATCTCCTCATTTGGAAAGAAATCATGTTTAAGTTTAAGAGCTGAAGTGTTGATCTCTCACCTTCATACAGAGTACAGTTTTGGTGTGACCCTCCAGCGAGCGCAGCAGCAGGCCGCTCTTGGCGTCTCGTACACTGATGGTGCTGTCATAGGAGCCGACCAGCAGCACCCGGCGGGCGCCCTCCTGCGAAGTCCCCAGGCAGCTAACACCCCGAGGGCCATGGCACTCGAACACATCTAACTGCTTCAGGGTCTAAAGAGAGAGAGAGAGAGATCAGGATGAAAAATATGAGCTGGGAAAGCTGTTGAGAAACTGTCAGAAAATGACTCTGGCAGGAAAAGATAAAAGCAACACGTAGGCTCTGAAAATATAGTCTACATCACTGCAAAATCTGTGGCGAAGTCTACAACTACAGGTCAACTGGAGCACTTTGACTTAATCTGACTAAAATTAACCAAGTTATGATGGTTGGCTTACTCAAGTTACAGCAAGTGAGTGGGTGTTTTTTCATGTCAAATGAAACTGTAAGTATTAAAATCATTTTACTCACCTTTAAGTCATAGCTGGCCACTGAGCCATTGGCGAGTCCAGCAAACAGAATATTCCAGCCAACGTGTAAACACAGCACCCTGTCCGACAGAGAGATCTGCTCCAGACACTTCTTGGACTGGAGGTGAACGGAGGAAAAACAAATCACCAAATTAAAACATCGCAAATGTACAAAACAGAAGACAGGAGGCAGTGCTAAGCTTACAGAAGTGGGTGTGTCATTAAAAATATGATGGTTAAAAACCCGTTAGTAACTCAGCGAGTACATCGTCACACAGAAAACCAACCTGTGTAAAGTCAAAGCTGCTCACAGGTGTGTTCTGGTTTTTTGCACAATATTACTTGGCCGGGCGTTTTGTACCTTTATGCTGTAACAGCGGATAGTCTGGTCACTGGACCCGGTGTAGAGGCGTGTCAGCGAGTTTGGGAGGGACGACACCAGCAGACAGTTGATTTTGTTTGTGTGACCCGTGAACACTGCTAGGCACTCCCTGGTCTGGATACACAGAAACAAAATGTATTTGATTATTATTTCACAGATTATATATCGTATCACAATTCTCAGTTACTGAATATATTTTAGGGTATTTTCATTAAAATACATCTTTGCTGCTTGATATGTCAAAATATTACAAATGCATTATATCAACAGAACTAAAAAGCAACAAAAACTCTTTTTACTTACAATTGATTGATTTTTGTGTAATAAGCAGCCAATTAGGTGCAGTGTGCTTCAACATACCATCAGACTGTAGACCCGTGCTGTGTTGTCCCCTGAACACGTGTACAACAGGCCCTCGTGAATTTGGAGGCCGTGGACGGGACCTGTGTGATTTAAAAAAGCTCCCAAAGACGGCTCCTCGTCCTCGACCACCTCAACACCCTCTGAAAAAAACGCAGTGATCGCATTTCTTATAGCTCTGCTTTATCTCTGTATGTGAACATGTTCTGTGAGCGGAGGAACAATACTCACCTGGAGGAGCACAGGCTTCTTTTACTGTAGGCTGAACTTTTCTAAGGGGGCAGAAGAGAAAAATGTTTGAGTACAGGATCGCAGTAATGTTGGGGATTCTATAACACACACAGTCTTACGTAGCGGACTCACTTCCCGTCCGCATTTTGCTGAAACGTCTGTGTGCTTGCAGAGCTGAACTCCACACTGACAGACTTCTGACAGGGCTCTTGGTGGACGTTTGAGACGGCCCCCTCATTGTCTGATTCATCGATATCAATGACCACCAGGTTGGAGGGTTCCATCATTTCAACGGAGTCGTCGCTCTCGTTCCCACCATCGTCGCCCGGTGCTGCAGCAGCAGAAGCACTGTGATCTCTTTCAGGGACAAAAGAGGCGACGGGCTGCTCTGCCGGAGTCTCTGGAGCTCCTCCCGTCTCCTCCTCAGAATCACTGTCGACTGCTTCCTCTCTCGCTAACCTCACTGTCTTTAAACAGTCCTTTAAGCCCTCCCTCGTGACTTGCTCCTGCTGCCTGACAGAGGATTCAGGAGAAATGTTCGCTGACGTAGAGCACTCTGTTTTCAGTTGTGTGAGAGAGGTAACAGCAGTTGACGGGGTTGCCAAGCCTGGTGATGTAACCAGCAGCGAAGGGAGCAAATCAGAGGGAAACAGGCACACAGGTTGGTTCAAAGGTACCGGCGGTGTATCAGGGTTACAGGAGACTGTAGCTGGTTGGCAGATTTCTCGCTTTACTGGCATGGTTGTCAGGACAAGGGGGGTTGGATGAGGTTGGCTAATGAAAGATGCTGGGTTTGTGGGAGGTGTGCTGGAGGCGATGGGGAAGGCACTAGAGGAAGGAAGGGGAGAGAGTCTTGGGTGCACAGCAGCAGCAGCAGCAGCAGCCCCCGTATTAGATGCTCCCGAGTATCCTCCTGAAAGAGATTAAAAGAGGAAAGGGTCAACTATTTGTCGTGTGTGAAGCCCTTTAAAGCAGAGGTTATCTCCTGTACCTTGCATCCCCTGCAGGATCTCAATGCGCTGGGCTCTCAGACTGTTGACTTCAGCAGTACACTAAAACAGCAGGAAGAACAATTAAATGTAACCTCATGAAAAGAGGAAAAAATACAAAGAGACTTGATATTTTCTTTATTAGTGGTGGTACCTGCTGTCTCAATAGAAGGAGTCTTTGGACTTCTGTGTAGGCAGCTTGCAGGGCGTTGCGGGCCTGGACCAGAGACTTGTCCAAAGCTTGTAACGAGTGGCTCAGCTCCTCCTCCCTCAGAGACACAGCCAACAGCTGGTCCATTTGGTCCTGGTCTGCAGCAGGAAAAAGGGAAAATACTAACTGAGATTTACTGGATGATATTTGGAAATAGTCACAGATATTATTGAAAAGTTGAGATGGTGATCTGTATTTGACAACACAGCTTTTAACGGGCTAAAAAGATTAGCTGCCACACTGTTAGACAGCTAAAAACAGTACTAGGCCTTTCGCATTTTTCAAGTTACGTGGCCAAACTAGTTTCTCCTACGCTTCACCCTCTCGTTCCAAGCGTAGGAGAAACTAGTTTGGC